ACAGGTCAGACACATAGAAAAGAAAAAAAAATCATAATCTTCATAACAAAAAGCCCTTTCTAGGTTTTTCTTGAGGTCTCCATAGGGAGCAGAGCTTACGTGTTCTGCTGTCATGCTACAGTAATTTGCTTTTGTAAGCAAATATTCTTTCTCACTTCGCAGCTCTTGTGAAAGTGCACTTAATGCTCACTGCCTGATTTTCATTTGGCTGAGAGTCTCTCTCCATCCCCTCTGGGTCTTCCTGTGATTTCCATCAGCACTGTGCTCTCACCATCCGAAATGATACTGCCTGGCTGAGCGCTAGTCCCACCCATTTAGAGGAAACACTCCTCTTCTTGGAAGAGACGTTAGGAGACAAGAACAGGCCAGATCTTTTAAGGAATACACAACCATATAAAACAGCCTCACAACTTCTCCATTTCCCCTCTCCCACACAAGTGGCACCCAAATGTCACTGGAGCTTGTCCTTTAAAGGAATAATTCATCACCTGTCCACTCCATACCTCTACCAGCGTCAAAACCTGCCCTGTACAGCTCAAAACCCAGGTCATACCTAAAGAGGTTTTTTAGGGAGAAGGAGAAGTTGAAGGACATGCATTCTATCCATAGGCCCAATACATCTGGACTGCTCATCCAAAAAAAAAAAAAAAATTAAAACACTCAACAGGGATCTGATTGCATTCGTGGCCTAAAAACAGCAAGGGAGGAATACCCTGAAAGGGCAGGACATCCTTCTCGGATCAATACAAAAACTGCTGATACTACAACACCAGATGGACACGTGGCATGGCACCAGGATGGAGGGTTACCAGTTCCACCCTCACTAGGAGGAAGAAAAAGAACAGCACGTAGCGCGCTAGGCAGGGCATCGCTCTGGGCGGCACAAAGTCCCTAGTTCGCGGCAAAGCCAGCCATGACTTGGTGCCAGCTCCTTCCACACCGTCCTCTGCCTGAGCCCTGTGTTTACACATAAACCAGCTGCCATTCCTGTCACTGAACTCTTGCAACGCTGTTTTTCTGTTACTGGGAACCACGATGGGTGACATGTAAGAGAAGGCAGAGATGATGCTGGCAATAAAGCTACTGCAGCTTAAGTCCACTGTGCCTCAGCTGAGGGGCAGCACCGATTTGGGGAGCGCTGCGGTGGAGCGCACGCGCAGGGTAAGTTGGGCTCCCTTGAACCAAAGGTTCCCCGTCGCTCAGGTGGATTATCCTTCAAGACGAGGTGCTGCGTGAGCCTGTCGGCTCTGCCCAGCTGCCTGGCTCCGACGGAGCAGGGCAGCCGCGAGCCGCGGCGGCGGGCAGGCTGGGAACCGCACGCGTAACCCACCTCTGATGCAGCTGCCCTCTGATAAGTGCGCTGGTTGCCTGGGGAAGCTGGAAAGTTTTATGAGTGTGGCATCACATTCATCTGACACAGGTTTTTCAAGAACTGCTACATGGGTGACGAGTTACCTGTTTATTGTAAACTTTGGCGATTACAGTAAACTCAGTTTCTTTGTCCTTGAGACAGATTTAGACACGTTCAGCTTCTTTCACCTAAGATCCTGCCCTTATACACTTGCTGTTCCTTCCTAGCACCTCCTTTTGTGTTCCCAGTTTCAGATCTTACTGCTCCTCAAGTATCAAATAACAAGAGAACCCTCCATGAGTCACAGGACTGAAGAAGTTATTTCCTAACAGGAAACTAAATAGAAAATCAGTTTCAATTCCCCACGCTGCTTAATGCAGTCTAACCACAAATTTTCTCGAGGCCACATCTTAGTGCAACACTTGGGGTGTGGCAACCTAATGTTAGCATACTGCTCACATGTAAAGCACTAGCAGATCTATGGTATTCTCCCCAGTGGCGTTAATAACCTTTTAACTTTGACTCTGGAAAGCTGACCTGTAGAAAACATGGAAGCTCTGAATCCAACTCCGAGCAGCAGTATTTTCGGAGAATTAGTGAAAATCTGTCTGGCTGGGGAAAGCTGCTGTCCTAGCAGGTAAGATGCAGTTTGCAAGATCCGGTGACAGTAGCCTCATTTCTCACTTCACGCTGCCCGTCTTGTCTGCAAAAGGAAGTTTACAAAGAGAAAAGCCAGCCACGTGCTCACAGCTATGGCCTCCAACGTCCCTTTGGGTTGGTAACTAGAGTTTAAGAGTCTTGTAAAACAGCTCTTCTGTCAAAAAAGTGCTGTCAAAAAAGTCATGACAACAATCTGCACAAATTGGCCTACTTTCTTCCCCTCCCCCAGAGCAGATGCACAAGGGCTATTGAAAAAGCTCCGAGTTCACGCCAGCTTTATGCTTACCTGTAGCAACAAACCCAGCATGATGCCAGATGCTGCCAATCTGAACCTGCCCACAGCTGGTTTTGAACACACGTGCACATCTGGGAAGGCGGCGGCCAGGACCAGCGCTGCAGCTCATGGCCGCAGTGCCGGGAGCCAAGAACGAGGAGCCCACAGCGAGTCCAACAGCTCACCTATGCCGGAGTCACACCTCCTTCCGCGGGCACGTCACGACCACAGCAAGATTTTCTCCTTTTTTGTGTTTTTGGGTTTTGTTTGTTTGTTTGTGTTTTTTTGGTTACTTCATGTAACGTTTTACTCACCACCTCCTCCCCGAAACCGCATCCGACTGAAGCGCAAACAGTACAGAAACCTCAGGAGGAAGCTTCAGACAGATCACATGAAAGATGCTGAATTTAAACTGAAAAAATCCCAAAGAAACTTGAGGGAGCATAAAAACGACTAAGGTCTTTGACATGACAGAAAATGCAGACAGAAGGCATTGTTTAATGAATTACCACAGAAATGAAATACAACAACATGGGTTAAAAAACTTTTTGTTTATTATAAAATACATATTTACACCTGAAGGCACTTTTGAAACCGTTACAAAATTTTCATATAAGCTATTGTTTTAGCTGTTCAGCAAGTCCGAAAATATTTTTTCTATCGCCACCTAAAAAGGTGAAAAAATCTGAACTGCATCCAGTTGTAGTACATTCATTTTTCTAATGAAAAAACACTACACGTAATGACAACTAATAAGGATTTTAGCACCATCAGTTTTCTAGAGTTTCAGAGAATACAGTAACAGTGTGGTGAGCAGATATGTGAGGAGAGATCTGCACGATGTTGAATTAAAACCAAATCAACTAACCTCTCGTCATAGAGTATTGCTGAAAGACTTACGCTGTTAAGCCTGATCTGTGTTTCCCATCCAGAAAGGCTGCAATCATCCATGCAAATAAAGCAAACTCTGCCGAAAGCTAAATCAAGATTCCCCATTTCCCCCACAGCACAGGAAGCTTTTAGGGACTGGAGTTTATACACTGAATGGCTATAGTTCTAACAGAACTGATGAGCAGATCAAGACAGAAAGACTGTTTCTCTTGTACTCCCCGCCCCCCCCGCCAAGGTCTGAAGACAAATATTAAAAATTGAACAAAACTAAAGGAACTGAACAGAAGAATCTACAGGTAACCTAGGCCACTGCACGGCCATTTCCTCATACTGCAGCTCTCTATGGTCAAACGTTTCAGAAATAAGAACCTTTTTTTGGAAAGTAAAGATCAACTATTTAAGCAGTTAATAATTCAAAAACGAATTACGGACTTTGTAAACTTCCCACTCCCTGCTGAGTACGGTCCCTGCACATGTACACTTTAAAATCCATTTTTCTTCCATCATTGCTGGCCAGATTCATTAGCTGAGACTGCCTGAAATCATCACAGTATTCTTCCCTGGAACTGTGGGACAGCAGATCTTGCAGCATATACTACACAAACCAAACAACGACATGAACAGAGCTCCTTAAACAAGTCCTATGTAATCATTCAATACTTTTTTTCAGTTCAATATACACATAAACTGAAAAATACAGTGCTGAGAAGTTTCTCTACGGCTCTCATCTTAAATGCAATTATGAAATAAGATCAAGCTACTGATTTACAGTAACGAATAAACCTTGACTTTTCTCCATTTTGGTAAAATAAAGCCTACCAAATCACTCAGTGTTAAAAAAATAGTTACAAGAATTGGATGCTGGAATTTACACATTTCCAATGAATCCAAGCCTTTAACAGCTATAAAAAAAACCCAAACCTATATACACACATGCCTTATCTGATGGGCTTACATTCAGTGTAGATACTACACAAAGAGGTTAAGATAGTCAGAAAAAAATAAAATGAAGAGACATAATTTGTTAAATGAATTTGTGCATTTGAACAGCTGTAAGATGGCCAAAGCCACAGCTATTTTTCATCTGTAACCAGCTTGTACTTCTTCATGGGTAAGCTGCAATACAAGCTTCTACAGCAGGGCTGCTACCAGGCTTCCAACAGGAAAGGAGCAGCACCCATGGCGGCATCCCCTGGCTCAAGGTAATTTAGACTCACCGAACTGTATCTTGGACACTGACATCTGAAAAAGCACAAATTTAAGCCACTGCTATATGTATTTTTTGATTATTGCCTTTGTTTTTGCAAAAAGCTGCCTGATCCATGGCATAACGTATGCTCTTACTAGTTCTGACAGGAGATGGAGCACAGCACAAATGATACAGTTCAAAACTCCTCAGCCCTTCCTGAGGCTAAATGACCAATTTGTTCTTCACTCCAGTTACTCCATAGTAAAATAATGCATAAAATTCCACATTCTTTTAAAATAAGGCACTTCTAAACTTTCTTCCCCAAATACCAAGAGCTTGAGGAAACTTAACTGACTTCAGTCATTTCCTTATAATTCTTATTCCAAAGATAAACCCCATATTACTAGAAGCCGAGTTAACACTCAGAACTCGCGATGCTCTAAATTATGCTTGAGAACATTCAATATGGCTTTCTACAGATGACTCTCTTGCTCAAACAGCTCAAATAGAGTAACTTTTATCACAGCATGGCCTTTGGGAACGAAGATTATCACCACCTCTCATTCTCTGGCATTTACTACTTAACCTTTGCTTTTTGCACCCTGTGGAAGTCAGGTAAAAGTTTGATGTTAAAGAAACCTGGCAGTTGTCTGTATACCAGAGCAAGAAATAAATAGCACAACAGCTGTAACCAACTCCATAGCTTTTAGATCCCACAGAAAACTGGCAGTTTTAATGATTTGCCCTTTCACTGACAACATCCTGGAGACGTTTAAGTAGAACATCATCATTTTCCTGGCAGAGTCGCTTTGTAGGGGATTCAGTGTCACTATCAATTGTTATTGCTCGTTTCTTACTCCTGTGTTCACGTTGTTTTATCATATTGTTGATGTCCTTCAAACTCTGCGATCAAGAAAGAATCATGACTTACTATGACTCCATTTCAAACTTGCTCTAGTTTTCAATTATCTGAGAACAAAAAGTTATTCCGAACATCTTTGCTCAGTGATGGATTCTACATAAAGAATTCTACCCTTCACTGCAAACTGAGAGACTAGTTCAATGAAACCTCACTGCATTAGAACACATCCTAATTGGGAGATTAATTAACCCTCTCTCAAATTGACCCCTTTCAACCTTTTTGCTTTCTACCTTGGAAGGGCTCCCATTAAACTTGTACAGTAGTGCACTTCGAGGGGTCAAGCAGGCACCGTTCTTGTGAGGTGAAACGTAAATGGAGTGCTGTTGAGAGATCCGCCGAGGAGACACTGGCTGTTGCTTAATGTTGGGGAATGGAGACAAGGGAGGGGCTTCCATCTGCAAAAGAGGACAAATTTGGATAAGAGCAGAATCAGAAGATATTTAAGAGCAATAACTTCACAGAAGGAAAGATTAATACACTTCCAGGTCATCTTTAGAAGATTTTATCCCGTAACAGTTAAACAACAGATCAAGTATCCAAACAACAAGACAAATTTATTTTCCAGACGCACTACACAGATGCTCCACAGGCATTTGAGCAAATGGGTGCTCCATCAATATAAAGCAGCTGAAACCAGGGTTGTAAACTGAACTGCATCTGCATTTGTCCTGTTGAAAGGCTGCTAAAGCAAGTGCTCATACCATTACCTACAACTATTTGAATTCTGTAACCACACCAGGTGCATAAGAGAACAAAATTATTGACATATGTTTAACTGTCAGGAAAAACAACTCTGTGTCTGATTATTATTACATAGAGCAAAAACCCCAAATACTTTACTTACTACATGATCCTGGTTTGTGATATCGTACTTCAGTGCAAATGATTTTACTCTTCCTACATAGACTGCATTGTAAAACTTAATAAGATCTCCTCGCTCCTCTGTTCCCAACTCACTGGAGTTCTCTGCTGCAGATGGCCTTGAGGAACTGCCAGTTTTCACAGAGGAGTCTAATCGTAAGAGAGAGTTTCAGACTTCAGAAACACAGTATCAGCAAACCGGGCACTTCAGATTCAAACTTGCAATATCCACATGACAAGAACTGGTCCACAAATTAACTAGTTGATGAGATTAATTGAAAGAAGTGTGCTTCAGGCAGGAGCAGGGTGTGCTGTAAGTGGTTACGAACATTAGGAGGAGCTACAAATCACTGCTAGCAGACTAGTGGATTATGGCTATGAAGGCCAACATAAATCTTTATTCCAAACTTGGAAATAGCTGTAGCAAAAAACTGTAGCACAACTGACCTCTTTTCCCATGCTTATCTTGGGGAGTGGAACAAAGCCATTTGTTGCTCTTTAAAACTGAGTTTTAAGCAGTCTGACAACTCCCAGCCTTTAGCTTCTGTGGAAGTTTCTAGTGATCAGCTGGCAAATAGCAGCTTTGTACTCAACTCATGTCTGCTGCAAGGAAGCCATGACGCCATTTGCTCAGGCATATTACAAAATTGCTGTTCAGTAGAAAAAGCTGCAGCCACACAGCAAGTGTATCTCTCTGAATGTTCGCTCCCTCCCAAGTAAGCCAGACCGCTACTGAACACAACGTTCCATGTTTCATCCTCCAGACTGTTTACTGCCAAGCACAACGGGGCAACACAGAATAAAGCCTCTTGCAATCAGTGCACTATGAGACAAACATCAAGAGCTTCAGCTGACACCCGTAAGTGTAACTCCTTCGCACGTCTGCCCTGCCTCACAACACAAGCACGTGTTCCTGTAAGCTGGTGTTAGGTGCGGGAGTTAATACTAGATAAAGGAGACACGGGTCTATTAACTGAAGAAAAAGTCTGGCAGGAAAAGCAAATGAGGACCTCTGTAACCGAGTACATTTGCCTGACAAAAAGCCGGAGCCCAGTGCCACTTCAGATGCTCTACAACATCCGAGAATCGTGGGGCTGCTAGACAGGATGCTGACCCTACAGATCAGCACTTTCCTGGATCCCAGTGGAATCCTCAGAAGGCATTTAAAAAATGGCTCTAATACTCATTCAAGCAGTTGAATCCCACCCACAGTGGGAATTTACCATGCAGAACAGTGTTTTAAATTTCTGCGTGCATCCTGGCGGCAGATCTGCTCTGCTCATGGGTTCACACACGGGCTTGTGATCTCTCAGTTTCCCGACACGTCACTAAATAGGCATGGCACAGTTTTCATGCTTGTCTCAAATACTACTCTTACCCCTTTTCTCCTTTAACCCAGAGCAAAGAAAATATCAACTATTTAAAAGAAACCTAAATATAAGAAAATGGTAGTCTTAGAGAGTCACCATTTTTATTTTCTGAAACGGGCTCTCCCTATTTAACCCTTCAGTGATATTAAGAAAAAAACCTGTCATACTATTCCAAGTACTGTTCATCCTTCTTTGTTAACCAGTGTTTCTGTCCAAGAACTACACTACCATTGACACACTAGGGAAACACTTCAAACTCAAGCAACCAAATTTAAGGAAACAAAATTAAACACTTTTTCCAACTCGTAAAAGTATTTTCCATATCTAGCACACAGGGCTACTGACAAGATGGTTTCTTTTTCAACAATACATTTATTTTTCTTCAATACATTTAAAACTGTAAATCTCGCCTCACTTCTTACTAGTTGACAGTTCAGTTCTTTAAAAGCCCACAAGTACATTTTTAGAAACAGCAGATTACTTTGATGTACCTACCTTCTGTCGTCTCCAAATCTTGGTTTGCATTTTTGTCCAACAGGACATCGGCAGAAATATTTCTCAACAAGACACTCCTATAAACCTACAGGACACCAGGGAAAAACACTCTTGTCAAGGAAAACAAGAAAGTCCAAGACTAGCTGAAATCCATCTGAGTAAGAATGAATACAACACTGAAGAGGATCTGACTTTTCCCTTATCATCATGAACATTTGAAAAGCCACCTCTATCTGAGATTTATAAAAAGGAAAGGCAATACTATTTACTCACATGGCTGTTTGCTTGTGGCTGATTTCTGTAACTTTTCATTATGTCCTGGAAAGTTCTTTCCTCTTTGGTTACCTGGTAAAGAAAAGGCTATTGAAGACCAAGTGCAAGCAGCAAGGTCTGGCTGCTCAGGTCCAGCCTATTCCCTCCAGTCCAGCTTCCCTCTATATGGCTTTTTTGTGTGTATTACCATGAACACATAATTTTAAAACTTAGTTCTGGTAATGAGAATATGAAAAAACAAGCATTTTTCTTGTTCAGGCATTCCTTGTTTCTCAGCTACTAAAGCCTTTTGTTGCTTATGATGCTTAGGAATTACTCCTTTTCCAACTTTTCTTCTAGTGACACTAAAAATTAAAGAAGGTAAATATTATTAATTAAAAAAAAAAATGTATTTGTAAATTTGAAAACTGGACCCCTTAAATTTTCTAAACAGAAAGCAAGGAAATCCTGAACAAAACACTAGGCAGGTGTACACATACATGCAATTTTGGCTTTTTTTCGTACTTCAAAATAGCTCATTTGTTAAAGGACTTCGTTTTTCAGCCATGCATCTGTAATTTTAATAGCAGATAAGCAACAATTTTCATAGTAGGAGCCAGGAGAGAATGTATCAGTGTATCTCGCGAAATTGTCAGGTCTCACACTGCACTGGAGACAGCACTCAGAAGACTGTATTTAAAAAAACGAAAAAAAAAACCCACAACCCCAAACCCCCACAACTTACAAATGACGCAACAAAATACAAAATGCTGACTATTCAATGGTTTTACTTTTCTACAGCTATCAGTATCAATGTCAGATGAGCCCAGGCTATGCTACAGTTAAGAGCACGGGCAGTCACAATTTGAACATCAGTCTCCCTCCACAGATGGTGCTCCTCTTCATTTGTCTTCCTCGGGAAGAAAAGGTAATCCATCCCCAATGTTTTAGAGGAGCCTGGGCTTAGTTTCACTTTCCTGAATCCATGTCCGTATCAGGCTTGATGGCCATTGTAACCATCAGCTCTCAAATTTGAGTCAAACCAATATTCCAGTTTCACAATCCAACTTAATAACACCTTAAACCAACGCTGGCAAATTGAGTAGGAAGTGAAGAAATACGAGTAACAGGCAACTAGCTCAATTCCTGAGCCTGAATCTTCAAAAGCTAAGAGGATTTCTGAGGAATAGAAACTTTCCATCCATACATATGGTTGTGAGTTCCTGCAGATTTCTGCACCTGCATAATTCTGTAACTGTAATGGTGGTTTTAGTTCAGACTACATATATGATGAAGATGGCAAACAGGATAGAAAACACAAGTGTGGGGCAATGAGACCACACACTGCTTTGCCTGTGCTGACCAGTGCTCAATTGTCAATGCACTCAGGAAGAGAGGAAAAATTCTCTTAACCAACAAGCTGGTTGACAGGAGCTTTTAAGAAAGGAAGAAATATACTGGGACTTCATCCACTTCTTGGAAGGACTTTTCCCTTCCCTCCAGTAATATGTCATGAATAAAGCAATCAAACTGTGAACTGCGGACACAATTTACATTTTCAATTGACATAAAGTTCCCAGAATTTCTTAAAACTACATGTTACCTTTGCCATGATATAAAAGGCACAGAGGAGGAGCTGGTCCAAATGTCTGTCCTTCATTAGATCAGCACAATGAACCAATGTGAATTCAAAGCATGTCCATATCTTCCTGCGCAAGTCATTGGAAACATCCAATTTTAAGCACAGATCACGCAAGCGCACACTTGCCAGATGATAAACCTGGAAGAGACACACAGCAGAGAGTCAAGCCAAATGAGCTTAACTTAGGCTGCAAAAATGAAAGTCCTCAAAGTAGAGGTGTTCTATATTTGAATAGTTCTTTTCTGCAAAATTCCACATCCCCGCCCCCCATGTCTTCCAAGACAGATGTTGGAATTTTTATGCTTATAGGACCTCTAATGCCTATAGGAAATCCACTAAAAAACATGGTGACTATAGCTTCTATACTGTATCACTCACTCACTATAATGGAACACTTCCAACAAGCACAAAGAAGGGACATACTTCAATTACGAATAAATATAATCTTAGATTAGCAAGCTGATGGATTTTGTTTTCTTTTTGATTACCAAAAAAAACTGTCTCAAAACCTAAAATAACTATCAAGTGCAACATTAGCCTTCTTCCATTTATTTCAGAAGTTTTTGCTTCATGGACAGTAACTAGGCACATTCTTGTGAATGTTGGGAAGCAGAAAGTTAATTTCATTTTCACTTGCTCTACTGAGCAGGAACAAGAAAGGTAAGTAGGGAAAAAAAATATAATTTTGAGTACGATGATCACTGTAAATAGAAGGTCAAAATTTACAGATAAGTGTAAGTGAAGATTTTAGTTCTCCTTCGTAACTAAGAGGAAAATGTTGCCTACCACAGGGTTTGTCAAATACATGGCTACAGCTGAAGTATTCCCCAAGCGAGCGTAAAGCTTCCAAAACAGTCTGAGTTCACGCCTGACAGCTGGCTAATCAATTCTTAATCTGTTATCAAAGAGTGAGACAGACAGTCACTATCAAAATTAAAGAACCAATAGTTCAGACACAGGATGTGGCTTACAAGTGTTTACAGGAATTACCCTCTGTATTAAGATTTGCCTTAAAGATTGTTCAACGCAGAATTCTCTAGGTTTACAATACAGATACCCTAAACGGGGAAAACCTCTGAAAATAACTCCTCAAGCAGGACAATAACAGCAAAAAAAAAATCTTCTAATATTTCTGAGACTAATTTAGGCAAGTTACCCCTGCCTCCTCCAAAGACCCCATGCACACTCCACACTGGAAATGAAAGCAACTAGAAACAAGTAATCTGAAGTTTCTCTGAAGCACATCCAGTTCTTAACTTACCCCTTAAATCCTTCATTATTTCAAGAAGTTGCTTTTTTCTACAAACTTTTAGACAGCATGTTATTCATCACTGCTTTGAGGCCCCACACCAGCAGGATCAGCCCTACTGGCTAGGCCCCAGAAAACTGCAAATGAGAATCTCCAGATGTAGGATCCGAAACACCGCAGTTTTGAATGAGCAAGACGCAGGAGAATAACCTCATTTCTGGTATGTCTAACCCTTGCAAATGTGGAAGGCGGTAAAAACAGACAAGAGAATCAAAAACTACCAATATTTCTTAGGTAGTTATTCACAGAAGCTACTAAGTCAAAGTAAGAAAAAACCATGAAACATCTCATGGGGAAAGGAAGGGGGAAAATTGCATTCTCTGCAACACTTGACAACATCTTTCTCCTTCTCCGCCCAGGTGTATAAGAACTGCTCATGCCAAAGGAACGGTACATGAAGACTGAAAGGTAATGAAACCTGCACAAGGAGGCAAGTTTCAGCATGGCCACCAAAGAGAAGTAAAGCGTGACTTCCTAGTAAAGGCACCTACCTTCCTGTAAAACAGTGCCAAGGATCCTGTTTTCTTTGGTTTGCCTGATGACAGATGCACTTCTTGCACTTGATTCACCGGAGGGTGGCAGGGAGCCTGAGCCTCCATTTTACATGGCTGACCCAAATTCATCGAAATGGGTATCAGTGTGATCCCACCCACTTCATTTGCAATACCTGGAGAGGAGATACACATCCAGAAATAAACCGCTTGCTCTCCTCATGCTGCAGAGTTAAACTGCAAATCATAAATTCATTTGCAAACATTTCATACTCAAGACATCTCATCCTTCTGTACTGGATGTTAAAAAAGACTTTGTCCCTCAGAGCCCTCAGAAATGATTAAAAATTACATTTCAGGTAACGCTTGATGGAAGAACATGAATGTGAACGATAATTTCTAAAACTATCTGAAAGTATAAAGTTTACAAGAAATGACAATTTCTGTAGGCAGTGTTCCGCTCTTTTGGGAGAGATGGGCATTGCCTTTCTTTTTGTAATTATTCTGCAAACCTGACAGCACATCATATACAGTCGTCATTAGTTTCCCCAGTAGTCAAATTCTCTTGCTGACAATCTCTTTAAACATGAGAAGTGGAGGTTTTTTCTTTTCATCTTTGTCTATAAACCTAGTTTTTAAATTAAGAAGGGCTATAAAACTAATTTCTCATGTATCATTTTCATAAATTTTCAAGCATCACCCAACTTAAAAAAAAAAAAAATCCCCCACTAATTTGCTAACATTAATACGTAGCCCTTATCCAGAAATTCCAGAGCCTTTACGATTATAACAGACCAAAGTTAAGACACATAATAGTAAATCAGTATTGGAGCTGAGAACCAAAGCATTGCTTAATCTGTGGTGAGGTGTAACTGGAAGAAGCAAGAACTCCACAACTTTGTTCACAAGGAGGAATCCTCAGGATGCTTGTCAGATATAAGATGTCTCCATGGGAGAAGATGTCAGTATAAATTCAAGCTTTTTTTTTTTTTTAATGATAAAATGATACCTATTCTTTTAAAATAGAAAAAGCAGTATGTGTTCAAGATGTGTGGTCAGTCTAAGCAGATCTTAAGAGCAAATAAAACATGTAGTAAAGAAAAGAAAGGGGAAGAATTCATACCGTGCAGTGGGATAGTAACCTTCTGTCCCATTTTCCCTGGTACTGTAGCTGTTGTCATGGTCAGTACGGTTTGGCCAGGAGAAACCGACACATTTTCAGCAGCAATGCTTGACGCTGGAGCGATTGTCAACTTAGTTCCTTCAGTTAAAATTTTTTCCATCTGCATTTCTTTGGGGCTGTCATCTCCAAAGAGCCTTCTCTTTGCACTTCCAGCTGTAGGAGAACTGTAGCGCTCATGAACAGAGATTGGTGACAACGGCTGCACGTCTAGTACGCAAAGGAGAAAAAACAACACCCAAACCTTAAGAGGAGTAGCTTAATAGGAACACTTCTCCACAGGAGGGGAAAAACTTCAAAAACCTTCAAACTACAAAACTGGAGTACAAGAAATCACTTCTAGGTAAGAACTAATCTCACAGCTCACTGTTCCTACGCAATACGAATAAGACCTATAGTCTAACTGTCGTCTTTTATTTTGCAGTCATCCAGACAGCTCAGTTTCACAATCCGGTACCACATGGCAGACAAGAGTAACCAAGCTGATTTGCAGAGGCCGAAGAACACGCGTGGTTACAGACACATACCCCGGTCTGCTTCGCAGATCAGCAGTATCTGCAAGTGCTATTCATCTGAACACATCCCTCTACAGGAACACTGAGCACATTCCCCAGACACGCTGTTTTCTGTATGTTCTGGCTTTTAAACTCTCTCTAAACCAACCCCAATCAGAAGCCTCCACCCTCATCCAACCCCAGCTCCTCTCAAGCAAAAGCAAAGAGGACAGAAAACTGCTGCTTTCAAAGATTTGCTCCAGCAGTAGGACTGAAGTACACAATACTAATTTACAGGCCTCTGTTCCTCTGGCTTTTTGCTGAAGTCTGCTCGCCACTTGTGAGGATACCAGTGACAGCAGCTTCCTATTTCCCACGAAGCAGAAACCTTCTGGATAGCTGGCCAGGTAAGACTGACTGGAGACTTTACTTCTAACTCTGACAGGATGGTTTTCTTGGTACCAGGGGCAAATAAACATTTCCAATCCCCACCATTTGAAGTTAGAAGGAGCGTTTGGGACCAGATTCTCATATACAAAGACAGTCTCACACAGCCCTACCTTTATATAAGATACCATCTGCAAGTTGCTTTCCCTTCCATCAAACAACTAAGCATAATATCTACAGCAACTGCTTATATATCACTTTCCTGATGAGTATTTAAAAAACAAAACCCAAAGAGCCTTGTGATGCAATTTGCCAAACACAAAAGGAGACAACAGCACACCACCAATCAGTCCACAGAGCCCCAGCAAGAACCTACGGACTATAGTTTTGGATACGACGAAAGCATCGATTCCTAACTAGGAAAGTATGAAAAAGCAGCAGCAGTGCTGCCTCTGCCTCTTCACCCTCACTGTCAAGAGGCAGCTCTGCGTGATACCTAGGAATCTGCAAAGAGCAAGGCAGTTCTTCAGAGGAAAGAATACTGCAGACAAAGTATTGTCCTCCCCTCCTGCAAAAAAGTCCTGTAGGAAGAAGGACTTTGCAGCTCTGGCATTCCACTTTAAAGAGTCACCTAAAATCCAGTCAAAACTCACTGATGAGAAAAAAACCCCAAAAACTGGAAGAATCTGAACAGCAATGGACAATATGTCATCGGATGACAAGCCACCCAAGAGTAAGGTAACCCTTGCATCCAACCAGTGGCAAAACCTCCTCCGGTTGAGAAGTGAAGCATTATCACCAGTGTCTGCTGCCAGTAAGACACAGGAATGGCTTGACCAGATGCATCTAGACTTTCCCTTGCTCACACAAAAGGCTTCACAATTCTGAAATGCTTAATTCAGATTCAAGATTGCTTTTTGCAATTATAAAGAAGTCTAAGCCCCCCCTCCCCAAATTCACACATTCAAATCATATCAGAGACTTTGAACATACCCCGTCTTAAACTCCCACCAAGGTCTGTCCGAACCTCTTTTACTCGAGGATGAATTATAGGAGATATTGGCATCATAGGCAAATGCCCAGGCCCACTTCCTCCACTGCTTGCTTCGAAATTACTGGGAAATATTACCTGAGAAATAAGAAATGTCAGTGTAAGATAAACAAATAGATTTCCCTTCTTTGTGCCAATCTATTAATAGAAGATTTTCTGCAGCAGTTGTCTCATTTGAATGGTTTTCTGTATAAAACAACGTGGATTTCCTAATAAAAGGAAAACAGGTAACATACTTCTTCACAGGTTGGGATCTTGTTGTCTGAGGCCTGGAGGGCATTCCAGAGTGCTGAGTCCCGAGTCCAGGCGAGACTCTCGAGAATTTGCTCCTCAATGCTGTTGAGGTGCTTCACCATGTCTCTGGAAAGTCCTTCCTCAGACCGAATCAGTACTTCAATTACCTAATGGTAAAAAGACACAAGCACAAAAGCAAAGTCGTATCACTCATGCTTAAGACTATCAAATCATTATCGTTTCAGGATCCTGTTCAAAACTTCTCTTCAACGTAGAATGCTCCATCCTCCTCCTCGCATCTTAACCTTCCCCAACCCTCTTCTGATCCCTCTTTTTTTAACCCCCTCTCCCAAAGGCAACCCAGGAGTCGGAAATGGACAGCAGATGTCCCATCAACGCAGAATAACCCACTCCAAGGCGTTTTTTTAAGGCCCTCTCCCCCCATCACTAAGCACGTACAGAATAACGCGCCAAGCACACGCAGCATCCCTAGGGAGATACAGCAGGTATATCTGCTTCGGCTGGGTACGCAAGAGCCCCAGCATTTAAGCTTTCCTTCCTTTCAAACAAGTGGCCCGTAACAAAAAGGGTTAAAACCCACCATGTTAAGAGTTTCATTTAAGAAAAGGTTAGAACCCTTAACATGTGCAAATCAGGGTTGAGAAAGGCCCTTGAAAAATCATACTCCACCCCTATGCGCCAATGCAAGATCCACTTTATTTATGTTATTTCTGACAGAGGAACATTCACGCCTGTTTTTCTAAAGCTCCAGAAATGGAAATGCCATAAACTTCCCTGGAGGACTTACTAATGGGTTTACTTATTTATGCTACAGAAACTAAGCTTTGTTCAGAACAAAGTTACAGACACAGCACAAGTGGAATAATAAATATTGACCCTGTATGAAGTCTTTGTGATAGCAATTGTTTTCAAGTAAGAGCGCCACAAGAATGTACACTGAACAGCAAAAGAAAACTCAAATCAAATGTAAATCTGTTCCACAGAGTTGGATCTGCACCAGTGCAGCTGGTACTGATGTAGGCTACCAACAGCCACAGCAATATTGACAGATTTGTTTCAGTTTCACTGCTGCCGTACATTTGAGGGCTGAAGAAAGGAGAACAAATGTAAAACAGCTTTCCCAAAGGGTTAAATTTTTTTGGTTGTTATCATCTAAACAGAACTACTTCTGATTTATTCAGTGCTAACTGCTGTTAGGTATCTAGTTAAAATAGGAGGCATACGGATAGATGAGAAAAGGATCAAACAAGTCAAAAACCAGAAATTACATTGGAGGCAGAAGGGAATGAAGTTAAAAAGAAAAAAGAGCAAAAATAGAGAACACCCAGGAAAAGAGATTTTATGTTCTGTTATATAAAACAAAATAGAGAAGAAAACAACATTTAACAAAGCAAGCCTGTGATAAGTAGTAGTAGCCAAGGCAACAAAGAATACTATTGCTATTTTACCACTAATAAGCAAAACTATAGCTTGCAGTCAATAAATATGAGTATCAGCAAAATATATGCTTGAATGCTTTAGTCTACTAAAAGTGTACACACATTACGAACTAAATGTTGATCAACAGCACATTACAGTTAAGTACCATTTACAACATGATTTTCTTGTTTTAAATTTCAGCTGAAAACTCTGGCATTACATATTCCAGGCAATATATTCAAGGACAGACAGAATTTAGAATAGGCATATTAGACATTAACATCAGTCCTTCTCCTACTTGATTATTTAGGAAGAGCATCATCCTCTATGACTGACAATCCAGTAACACGCCATTCCTAACACAGATCCAGTCCTAAGAGTATTTATTTACCTTATAGAAATAGAATGGTCTGAGGTCAAGAACTTCAATGATCCAGGGAAAGGTACGAGGTGAGCTATATGCGAAAAGCACGATCTCCAAGCAGCACGCCATGAGAGAGCGGTGAAAAACATCTTGTTCCAAGAGAGCCTGCAGGGATTACAGAAAACATCAACGATCTGAACTTTGGGAAATGGAAGTTTCGATTTTGTGGCACTAATACTACATAGCTTCTTGCTGGAGAGAGAACTACTGCTTTTTCCTACCTTCCACAATCTCCTCTTTTTACAGGGAAGTTTAAAATGGTAAAGATTAGAATTAGACTAACAGCACCAAAACCATCACATTTTTCATATTATGGCCAAATGAATTGGCCTCCTTATTATGAATCACAAAGCAGAGCAAATGCAGTGCTGTCTAACATGAAGTACTGATATTGTTAAGTGGATAGAGAAGAGAATGAATGTTATCTGTCCACAAAGTCGTGATTCTAGAAGGCAACACAAGTTAAGATGGTTAATTATGCCAGAATTATACAATTTTTAACAGCAGTAAAAACCACATTTAGGCACCTCCCATATTTTTCCCCTTTTTATTATTAACCATATACACAGACTGCTTTACTGCAGACTGCTCTGTTCTGGAACTGGCTGAAGATAATCCCCTAGAGAGGGTTACAAGAAGTGTTCTCCTCTTTTCCCAGTTCTTTACTTACAGTCAAATCCTTTCCATGTAGTCTTCGTGTTTCTTGCACTATTATAGTCTCCAAGATTTTATAGTACAAGATCTCTGCCAGCTTTAATCTGTTCACAGCAAAATCTGAAATTTAAAACCAACAGAGATGAAGCCCAATGCCATTTGCACAAATGGTCTTAAGACTAAATTGACCAGTACTTGTCCTGCTCTAAGAAGACAGTGCATATGTGTAAGTATAGACTTTGCAAACAAAAAAAGTATGTTGAGAAATCCAGCAGTCACAAGAACAGCACAAAATTCTAGAAATGTTTTAAAGGATTATGTATTTTAGTATTTCTAGTGATGTAACTTTGCAGATAATTTGCAATAATAATCTTCCTATTTGTATTCCATTTCCTTTAAATTTTAAATCTAAGAAGAATGCAAATTTACAGTTTTTTGTTAAGAGCTGCTATAGTTTCAATGCTCTCTTGGTTATCCCATTTTGAACTGCAACCTCAGTTTTATTCTGTAATAAGATCTTATTCTTTACAGTGTTCTGCCTGACAGCAACAGTTTTCTGTCTGGATATATTCTGGGTTAAAAACAGCTCCGCTGTATTTAATATTTAGATGATAGTACACGTATGCATTTCATTTGCCCTGGTTTAATATTTGAAACACTCCACGCGTTTCATGTCCATACCTATATGAGATCCTGGCTGTTCATCTGTTGACTGAGTGTAGCTGCGACAGAACGTCTCACCTATTTCTTTCACTCTGCTCATAATGCTTTCCACAGGGCTGCGGGCACACGACCTGAAGCAGAACGCAAACAGAAAGCCTTGTTTGTACAAATAAATGCCTAGTTTCAAAAAAAAGCCTCAAAAGACCCCCACAAAAAAAACCCTACCCAAGTAAAAAGAAGCTAGTTATATTGAGCTTTCCTCATCAGGCATTAACCTGTATTACCACAGAGAACAGAAGAAAACACAAAACACACAGAAATATTGTTTCCTTTTTTCCTTTCCTAGCAGAGTTAAGAGAGTCTCTGTAGATTTTGGAACAAATGCAGGAGAAAGCAAGAGCTACAGTGGCGCACTCAGGAGAAAAATGTATCTGCTAGGAGCAAGGTAGCAGGAAGGATGCTACAACAGGCAACCAAACCACCCAAGACACCCATGAGACCACACAAACCAGGCACGGTTTGAGGAAGTACAGGAAAGCTTTCAGAGTGAAGAGTCAGCATCTTTCCAAAAATACCTTATTTGCTAGCAAGGCAGAGAGGAACTGATGAACTCCACACAGTCACTATCATAAAAAGGGGCCAGAGAATCTCTCTGTCTGGAGATGCTCTTTCTGAATGCTTCCAGATTTTGCAGCAATTCTGTATTAGAGGACAGTGGCTTGTGACTAGTGTCAAGTTAAGACACTAAACTATTTTGAAAAGCTAGCATTGAAATAAACTAAGGTTTCATTGAACAAAGCCTTCTAATTAACTTCCAAGTTATGTTTCCAAGGAATTTTAATTTGAAAGAGAAAATATTTAAAAGCATAGAATATTACACATAGTCCAAAACACTTTCTAATACAGTATTCAACACATTTCTTGTCAGAGGTTTACTCAAGTCTTTTCTCCATTTTAATATTTACATCTCACTTGACAGACCAGTTTACTACTTGAATGAACACATTTTTCATTAGAGATTTGCAGACACATTAGTGTTTTGTGTAATAGAAATAATATCAAACAGTCCTTAAAAAAAACAACCAAAGAAATGCTCAAAATAGAAATGCATCCTGCTGAGCATTGTAGACTTTTAAGAACAAGTGCTAGGAAAACTTTCAAAATACAGGTAACTCCAAAGATGAGAACTAAAAGTAGTACTTTTGACCTACTTATGAAGGTTGCTTTAGAAAACATTACTTTTGCACTTCAAATATCAAATGCTAATACTATACTTCCATTCTGATTAATTAAAAAAAAAAAATCTATCTTGAGACCTTACACCATAATACAGCAAGGCCTGAATTTAACGGCAAACACCCAACAACTTTACAGGTATTTACATTAAATTATTGCTTTTTATGAGCTATGAAGCAACACTGATTTACCTTTTACTGATGAACTATTTTGTTTATACTCATCTGCTTATGCTCCAACACTTTCACGTGCATTTCACTACAGCCAGCACACAGTCATACGTCCAGGAGCCAAAAATATAGGCTGATTTCTGTAACTGGGACTCTGTCCTAGAAGTGGTGATCATGAAAGGCTGGGGTTGTGTTCGGTAGTCACTTATTATGATTTCCGAGTATCCTACAGCAGCTGCAAGGGCTGAGTGAGCAGCTCTTGACTAGGAATGCTCTAACTCCTGCCGGGACGCCTGCCCTTGGACAGGCATCATGGCTCAGGGAGGGAACCAAGAAGCTGAAGCATGCTCAGGGAACAGCCACAGAACAACCAGAGAAGTGGAAAACATGCTGCTATACAAGAGATCAGCATCAACAATAGTTAGGGTCACTGCTAGACTATAAATAATATATGCTATATAGGCTGTAACTATTTCTCCTCCTTCTGGAAGGAGAAATAGGGAGCCCTTAGGCTGCTTTTAGTCTTAACTTCCCAACCCTTTAAGGCAAAGATTATAGCTTGTTGACTCTAACATTTCCCTCCTCCCCCAAAACCTCTGCCAACACAGTTACCATATCATTTAATTGAGCCATACTTAAAGAACAAGAAACTTCTTAAAACAAACAAACAAAAAAGTTATTTGGCTTTCAAGCAGACAAACAGCTAAATTAACATTAGCAAAAACTGAAGCTACATTAATACAATGGTGGTGCCAAGAGAAAGCTGGGGAGTGCGTGTGTGTTCAGATACCCTTCTCCAGAAGGTGAGATCATCTGGAAAACAGAAGATCTTTCAACTAGAAATAATAAACACAGACACTAATATTCTGCAAACAAAAAAATCAAGTTTGAGCAAGCAAGCAGTCACAAGCATGAAAAGAGGATGCGGACATACTTACTCAAAGTACAAGTGGACATACTTACTCAAAAATAGTTAGAAGTTGTTCACTCGGCGCATTTTTCAATCCAGCTACAATGTTCTGCAGCCGGCTCACGCTTTGTGTTGCTGAAGCAACTGGAGTGATGACAGCTTCCTTCTCTCGTAGGTACCTTCTTCCAGTCAGTGGAGTTGAAGGTGTAAATGACCTTTTCTGTCAGAGAAAAATAAAAAATAAAATCAGCCAACCAAACTGTTTCAAAAACCTTTCAAATGAGCACCTCCTGCAGAATCACTCCGAAGGCTAAAGGGGCACCACTGGTATGCCACCTGAAGGCTGCCATCGAACCATCAGAACTGACTAAAAATTAGTTGAAGTTTTCCCGGGACTTCATAAATACAGAATGCAACAAATCTTCAGGCAGACTAAAATTAACTCAAAGGTGTTTTTAAAATGAAGTATAGGAAAATGAGACTTTAAATCCTAAAGCCTGTAAATTTTTAAGCTCGCTTAGCATTGGAGGAATAAAAAAAACCAAAAAACACCAAAAACCACAGGGCAAGAAAGAGAAAGCATTGGCTTCCATTCACAGTCCCTGACTGCGTTAGCTGGGTGACACAAGGAGCATGTGGCAGAGCTGCCTAGGAGAGGGCCAAAGGACGATGTTCTCTGGGAAATGCTGTCCTGCTGGACCCAGAGCCTCCCCAAAGAATGATGTAGCACTAAGCAGATGGAGCTATGTCGACTGCACTTACTTGTTTGTATCCTGCTTTCTGGAAGTGATGCAAAATAAAGTATTTGGTTTTGAAGGAGTAGAACAGACTACATTTTGAAGACAAGAGACAAATAACAAGGAAAGGTTAAGCCTGCAGTCAGTACGTATAAATAGCAGTGAGGTCATTTCTGTACTACAGAAACTGAAGTTCAAAATTGCTAAACTCATTCCAAACCCCTCTCTTTAGTTTGCTTGAATATGAAATACACTTCTACCTGGGGAAAAAAAAGCTAAGCCGTATGATTCATTTACACCAGCACTAGCATCTTGTAATAAGTGTTCTTATTTTTTAACTGACATGTAAATCAAACAGCGTGTGGTTCTTTCACACAGCCAGCACCATTTTTTCTCCTTATCTAAGTTTAAAAAGTAATCAAGTGTTTCCCCACATGCCAACTTCATTAAATACACTTTACATTTTTAAGCATAGTGGTATAGGCTATTTTTTGTAATGAAGAGTTAGACTTTGGTGGCTTGTGTCTTGAATGTTATTTTCCATTGAATAGTATAAGTTGACTTTTCATGTCCTAAAAAATGAAGTATCAGGAAAACAAATAAATTAATCCAGCGTAAAGGTTTTATGGTATTCTTATGGGGTATAAATGAAGTTTGAACAAAACCCTAAGACCTATATATTTAGGTCTTAACTACTTAATGTTTTTTTCTTGGACAAAACCAGACTATACACAAGAAAGTGCTCTCATTCTGTTTAAGGAATAGTTATTTACTAAATTCCACAGGAAAGAAGAGGTCACCATTTTTCCTTAGCAAGACAGCATCCAATGAAGCCTGCAAATGGCATTCATCATCTTCCTCGGAAGTTCAAGAAATTCAAAGTCACCTCAGTGATTCAAATGGCGTACAAGGATGGAAAAACTTGAAGGAACACTTCAAGTGAGATCAACATGTTAAAATGTTAAACCTTTTCGAAATGCTGCTGAAGATGACACTCCACGTGAGCTCTTGCTGCCGTTTTCCCTACTGGCACATCTGCAGGAAATTTTCGAGGAGTGCCAATTTCTTCTTCAGCATCAGCTCCTAGGAAAACTCTCTCATCGAAGTCACCCACTGTCAGAACGTACTCTTCGTACTCTTTATTCAGTGCTTTGCTGAAAAAGAAGCCCAGGTTTTATATCAAAGGTTAAACTGCTGAAGAAACAAAAAGGGTGCCAGCGGAGCTAAGGTACAAAACTGAAACCAACACGCGTTCAAAGTGTTTAGTGCTTTCAGCAGCAGTGCCGCTTGTAAACAACACTTCACTACCCCAAGCAAACTGCCCGCGGTCATCCCTGCCTGCCTGCAGTCATCCCTGCCTGCCTGCATACTTAAAACCTCCCTGTTCCCTCGATGAACCGCTGCAGGGACCACTTTTCCCCCTAAGCTACCGCCAACATTTGGCTCTCAGTAAGAAGAGGAAAACACAAATTTGCTTCCATCCCAGTTGCAAATAAAACAGCTTGGAAGTACTCAGCTCATCAGAGGTTAAATCTTTGTATACACAGAGCACATTAATAGCAGTTGCATTAAACTAGCTACATTTGACTTCCACTTTTGCTGCTTCGTAGCCCATAATTTTCATAATGGTACAGAGGAAGGGAAGTTTAAGAGCTAGCTGCCTGGATTCAATTTCTAAAATCACCACTGACATATGGTACCAAACAAATCTTACTTTCTTTATTCCAGCTAACCCAACTGTAGAACAGGAACGTTTAATCTCACAAAGGTTGCAAAGCTTTAAACTTCTACTTGGGAAGCAGAATGAAACTTCTGGATAAAAATCAGAAACAGCTCACATCAATAAGTCCTACCTGCACGTTTTTCATGGTACATGAATGCTGTATGAAATATCTTTTGCTTGCAAAGTGTCTTAGAAATTCAAGCCACCACTTAAGCACTTAAGAAGTGAATTTAAAAAGTTTCTGAAACAACTACACTTGCCTCCCACAGAAACACTCTACCTCTTTTCATGGTTTCGGAACTGTTGCTTCTTTTTCTTTTGAGTACTTCTGTTGCATTCACAGATTTATACACTCGGTTGGAAACTGATAAATGAATCTAAAGACTTCCCTACTTGGGTATAATATTTGAGATGTGTATAGAAACACATCCGTGAACTTCAGAGTCAAGGTTTGATTTGCATTAGATTACTCAAAGGTTACAGTTGCCAGAAAATAAGGGCAAGCACCATAAAACCTGACATTAAGGAAGAAACTCTGCAGCTGACCCCCTGGTATTTGGCACACCTCAGATCCAGAAAGCATTTCAGCCAGATAGTAGCTTTGATTGTCAAATAATTAAAACCCATTAGTTATGGTAAAATAAAGGAATAGGGAAACCTGAGATTCAGCATTCAAAGGCCTGTATTTCAAAAATGAAACCAAACCCCATGATTAAGAACATAAGCTGTAACTTACTTATTTTCTGTAAAATTGCAGAGATCCAACAGACATTCTCCTTTTAAGATCTAAGAATAAAAAGCAGAAATACCTTACATAATAAAATCAAATCTCTTCCAACTTGAACAGTGTTAGGGCATGATGGTTTTAGACAAAAAGGAAATGAGATTTAGGAGCATAACTGGAAATTTTTTTTTTTTTTTTTTGCTTAGACCAAAAGACTACAATGCTGTTAGCAAGACAAACGGATGAGGACAAAGCCCAATTCTATCCAAGCTCTAGATAAACTCCCTCTTCAGAAGCAGTACTGCTATTTAACGTCTGTTCCATCGGCAGGTTAGGGACTGACCTGATGAATGGCTACACAGAAACTTCCACAAAGCTTGGAAAAAATGTCCAGGATCAAAACCAGACAGAACAATTTGTACACCTGCAACCTCAACCTCCTCCTTCCAAAGCATTTTGCTCAACTCCAAGACAAGCAGTAGGACCCACGTTATTGTGACAGTTATCCCATAAAATTATCATCCGTGATTCAGTTTCACACTGCCAAGACAGGAAAGCAAAGATTCTCCATGGTCATAAAAAACAAAAACACAGGGGACCTTACAGCACACATCACTAAAGTGAGAGTAAATTCTGCTCCAGCCAAAATACATACAAAGAAAACCTGATCCAGCCCAAGATCATTTGCCTCTCAGCACACTTTCCTGCAGAACCTGTAGGATTTAAATGGTCTCGAGATCATTCATCTGAGCACTACCATGCATTCTTAAAACTAGTAAGATGTACCTTCCTATCAAACAGTTTTGAAATGTATGGTTTAAAGTAGTGTTCCTTTATTCCTTTTGCTTCTACTAAAAGCCCATCATGCAGCTCACATAGTGTGGCAATGATGCAAGGAGGATCTCCAGAGTCTTTGATCTCTGTCACGTGGAAGTCCGCTGGTAAGCCTGAGAAGGGAGCGGGGGAAGAAAAGAAGACACCCACCTTCAATTTCATTTAAAAAGAAAAAAGAGAACAAAGCATATTTGATTTTAAATAATCTGTCCCCACCATACCTTTAAACGATGGATTTAGCAAATCTCTTCTATTTGGACACAAAAGGGCATTTGCAAAAATCAGGTCCAAGCAGCACAGAAGCAAATGATAGGAATTTACTAAATCATCTCCGATCATACGGAAATTACCTTTAAGAGACAGCATATCACGTCAAGCAACACAAAAGTAGTTCATAACTCGGAACTTGTATACAAACCATGCAGCTGGAAAAAAGCAAGCCTACCCTTAGTGTACACAAAGAGAGTCCAGCAGAAGTTGAGGAGATCTTTAACACTGCACGGCACCCGCCTATCAACGAGGAAAAGAGGGGAGAAGTCAGTCTTCAGTTCCAGGAAGCTGAAGCTTGTTTTACAGTAAGAATTTAACTCTGCTCCCTTGCTCAAAATAACAGCCAGAGCCATTGTCTATCTTAATTTCACCCTAAAGCACAATCTAAGCTACCTGCCCTTATTTCAGCCTTTCACAAACTGATTGTCTCCTGCCTTGCTCCACAGAGCGTTTTGCACAGCATCCCTGACCTTCTGACCCTTTTTTGAGCTAACGGCTGCTTTTGGCCTGTGACCCTGGCCACACCTTTTTTCTGGTGTCACTGTCTAATAGAATCCTGCCACAACTGCGGGTGGTGAGATGACAAGGCCTATATAAATTCCACTGACGGTTTTACCTGAATATTTTATGAAGCATCAGTCATCCCTTCCAAAACATAGAACTACAGCTTGTATTACTGCTGAACTGTGTTTGGAGTACAGATCATCCAAAAACCACAGAGCTGGAAGACCAGGGGAGACATTATTCAAGACAGCCCACAGAGAAGCTAAAGCTGCAGTTACGCTAACGAATGCTGCTCCGGTGAAGGAACATCAACAGAGCATACCGACAAAATTTCTCCCAAGACGCAACGATGCCCACAAAGCTACTGAAGAGCCGTAGCAGCAGAAGTAGCCTTTCTGCCTGCAGACATGGAGCTGCGCGCGAGTGTTTTACCAGAACAATCACACCCCTCTCACATCCAGAGGACACGGGTGAGCTGGCTGAAATACCTCGCACAGTCCCACCATTAAGGTTACAGCCTCACTACAAAGCTATCGCAGGGATGGCCACACAGCCGGCAGGGAATACGGACAAGGTCGTTAAGGCAGAAGCTAAGTTAAGTTAAGGCAGAAGTTCTGTGTGCGTCTGGAACATGACACCATCAGTTACTAAGCTGGTCATAAAAATGAATGCATCAGCTGTAGCTGTCTTCCATTTGCGTGGTACCACTCATCTGGCAATCACATTAAAAATCCAGTAACGTGGAGGTCCCTGTGGATGTGATGCCGCTTTTTACGGACAGATTACATCACGATACCAACTACCTCAGCCGGTACTTTCTCAAGACAAGATATCCCTGAGCTACTGAAGTTATTCCTGCTAAATGTTTTAAGCGACGGTCTCGCTGTGTCTCAGGTTAATCCATCTCCCTGCACCTCTCCCCACCACACACAGACAGTCTCACTCTCGGCCATTTTCTGCATGTTAGAGTGATCTGCGTAAAAAGCCCCTGGATGCAAAGCGCCGCTGATAGGAGCCGTACCCCATCAAGATCAGGGATGTTTCTGTATTTGTTGCATTTCAGAATCAAGGCCACAAAGCGGTTCTGTCGCTTCGGAACTTTACGTAACTTTTTAAAGCACAAATGATGATCTTGATTTTCATAAATCTATAATCCCTATAGCCCTTTCCAGGGAAAAGTCACATTAAAACTCAAAAATACCTGTGTTTCCTGCATCGCTGTGGTTTAGAAGCTTCTTCATAAGGGTTTTGAAATATATCCAAAAATATCGGTTCAAACTTCTTGAAAATCACAGTTGACACTTCAAAATTTCTCTCCAGCCTCCCCACTCGCTCTCGGAATTCCTGTGGTAGATTTGACATGTCCATCCACTTCTTCATTTTGCTAAAAAACTGAATTAAACTTAAAAGGGAAAAAAAAGAGAAAAGTTTGCTTTATTTTGAGCTTTAACTAACTTCCTTTACGGTGGATTTTTTAAAAAGCCAAAACACAACACACTTACTCCTCCACAACTAACCTGATTAACGTACGGGTTTACCATTTATTTCTCCTTGACTCGCTTGAAGGCACAGGCATGGAAACACTAATTTTACTTAAGGGCTGCCAGCACAGCCATGTCAGCCAGGGCAGGGGTGCAAAGGAAGGAGCCCGCACTTTGCGCGCGTCGAGGGGGACGCTACAAAACCCCCCGCGGGCCTCCACGCCCACCAGTTACCCACGCGAACCCTTTCAACCGCAGGCGCGGCCGCGCTGGCACACGCCGCTGGGCTGAGAGCGGCTCTTTAAGCGGAACGAGAAACGTTCCGAGTTCCGCCATCCCGGGTCCGAGCCGCGGCCGGGAGGCCCCCGCGGTACGG